GCAATGAGTTACAAACTGAACATTACGTATGCACCCGACCGATCTGTACAGGAATAGTTGAGTGAGAGTCCTACTGCTCCATCCATTAGCCCTGCCCTCCGTCTCTTCTTTCCCCTTTCCCCGCCCCATCCAAACCACTAAACATTTAACCAAGAGTCCAAGACATGCCAGCCTCAGTAGTGCACATCTCTGCTTCTGTCTCCAGCACCAGCACCAGCACCTGCACATGCCCGCCCACATCATTATCTCCCCAGAAACAGACTAGTGCCGGCAGCAGGCTGTCTCTGTTCCCCTCCTTTTTTGGGAGTAGAGCGAGAGCGATGGCTTTCCGGTGCGCATCGTCATCAAACTAGCATGTTTTAGTGGCAGCAGTTGGAACTTGTCCTACGGTCGCCCTCTCTTCCCCGCGCCTCTCTCACACACAAGCTAAGATACTAAGTAGAATCAAGACTAGTCTCTCACCGAGAGGTTGGGGCTTGTTTAGTATTATTATTATTCTCTTTCCTGGCAGCCTACAAACTGCCTCCCACAGTCCCACTAGACTAGATACAGTGACTAACTAGACTAGTGTGACTACACTATCCTTCCTATCCGACTTACTGGAACTGGCTTGGTTGGGAGTTATTTTCGCTTGACCTTGGCTTTAGTCGTCCTGGTACCCCGCTAGACCCGAGTTGAATGCAGCTCTTCGCAAGGTCCCCTTTTTGCCAAGGTCGACACTTGGCGAAATGGTGACAACTGCTGGTCGATCGTGGGGTGGGGAGGGCGCGTAAGAGGCGTTTTCAATTTCACTTTTAGAGATTGTCGTCGTTGAGTGACTGACTGCATTGTTGTGGTTGTGGTTGTGAGGGAGATTGACTACTTACTTTACCCCTCCACGGTTCCTCCCCCTTGGTTGTTCGTGCCCCTCTTTTCTCAAGCTGAGCTGAATTGCTCCATCCCGGTCATGAGACAGTGGTGTACAGTACCTCCAAGTTAAGCTATCAAGCCCCTTACAGCGAGGGGTTTAGTCTAGGGAGTGAATGTGGCACCACTACGTAATGCGTCTACTACTTTTGAATGCTGTCTGTGGTTGTGGTTCTTATCTGCCTGATTGTGATCTCGTCGGTTGAAATGACAAGACCCTTTCCAAGCTAACTGGAGAGTCAAATAGTCGGGAAGGTTAATTGTAACCGTGAAGGTTTGCATGATCCCAGATAAACAATAGTTCATGCGATGTCTCCGGGATGATCAACAAACACAAGGTTCCTTCGAATGGGAGGGAGGGGGTCGACCAGTAAACCTACCATTGATTTGAAAAGTGTAAAATCTGTCATTCTACTCTCCGTCTCTAACTGTCGATTAGTCTCTGCATTCATGAAACAACAACCATCACCCCCCCCCCCCCACCTTTTGCAGTTGACCGAATTGTTCAGGGCTGATCAGTGGGGATCCAGCGTTGGTTTGGTTTCATCGTTTGTCGGCTCTGCCTCTTCCATGGTTCCACCCCGCCCGTAGTCTAGCTGGAGCAGCCGCGGGCAAAGCTGTCACTTGCCTTGTCAGGAACTCCGGGAAAGAGGGGCCCGAATGAAGCGAAGAGTTGAAAGTTGGGTGGGTGAGGAGTCCGTGACGATCCTTGTTCGTGACAGTTTCGCAGTTGAGGCTGTCTGATCCACAGCACGGCTAGTAGGCAAGGAGGATGCCGTCGCGGTGGCATATAGCCTACGTAAACGCCAAACGAACAACTGACAGCCAGACACGGAGTAAAGTCTGCCATGTGGTGCTCTCAGGAACGATAACTGACACCTATGGATGAGCTCAATTCCCTCTGTGTAGGGACATTATGGATGCCTCTCAGCGAGGTACCCTCTCTAACACGAGTCTCGCTATCCCTCCCCCTGTCGATCAGAGCAGCCCTTCACTTCGATCGCCTGATTCGATTGCAGGTACAGTAGACTCACTTCCTTGAGGGGACTTCTCGAGACGAAATGCGAAGATCCTGGAAAGGCAATCGGAGCTCGGATCGCCAGGCAACATTCCCTCCCGTACGAGTCAATGAAGCTATTCTTCGATAGTCTCGCCCGACGCCCTTGGGCTCTTCGTGCGCGCAACGCGAATCGACCTTTACGTCGTACAGAGAAAAAGGGGGCCTCCAAGCTGTGACCGAAAGGTCTGAAAGAGACGAGATTCAGCACTGGAACCTTGGAAACCCTCAAAGCTTGGTCCACGCGACCGTGGGGACCAGGCTCAGGCTCAGCTTTCGGCCTCAGCTTGAAGTTAAGGTTCGTATTACCTTTTGGGGAAAATGTAACTCGTCCAAGGCTGTTCGCGAGGGTCCATCAACAGCGACAGATCGCAAACCCGCTTCATCGGACAAGCGTCGGAGATTCTAGACGCATGATTGCTCTGCTTTGCTAGCGGAGGATCCTTACCAGAACTATGGGACCGTGGAGCTGAAGAGCCTGGGTGCGGCGGCGGATCTTGCCTATCGATCGATCGCTCGACTATCGATTTTGCAAGTGGGGTGGTTCCATCCTGAGTGGTGAGTGAGCTCAGTGCGATGAAACAGCAGTGGCTGGGATTGCAAGCGTCTCGGGATGTAGGAGTGTCTAGGCTGACATTCAGTCGAATTCGCAGTGTATAATAAGTCTACCAGTTGGGTTGGCTCTTACTTTCCATGGCGATTGGATGTGGTGAGTAATGCCACTAGGTAAGGTAGGTTGTTTGCGATAGTCCCGTGTGCATCACCCAAGCTCAATCAAAGTCTTCCTGTCATAGGACCAACATTCAACTTCCATGATGATCATATTTCCCCCAGGCTTTCGTCGTTCCGCACCAATCCACCCCCTCAGCTTCTCCACACTCTGAGATTCACTTTCGGGTTTCCAATTCGGCGATGACGGACCGAGATCAGACATCTGCCGCCCGAGCGTTTGGTGTATCCTGGCCACGTCCCGAGCTGTCAGGCCCCCAGACCCCTGCAGTGTGACAGTCGTGAGATGTGTCCGGCAATGACCGAAGTGGCGAAGTCGAGGGGATGATGCATCTCCCAGCAATGGGTGGCTGGGGAAAAGCTGGGAGACGAAGAGGAATTGATACCTCATATGCAGGCCGCTTGCCAGGGTCACCCCAGTTGGATCTCCCATCGTCCTGAAACTGGGTCAAGGGGCAACCACCTTTTTGGAATTGAAGCGACGAGGAAAGCCCAACTGTGGTTCACATTGCTGCCTACTGACGGCTGTTCTTTTCGTGTTCACCCCAGGTTGTTTTTTTCCTTCTTGTCTTTCTACCTCGGAGGCACAGCAGATCCCGCCAAGTCCTCTGTTTGCACCTATGGATAATGACAAATCTTATAAAACTCCATCGATTGACGACATGCCCGTTAGGTAGTCAAGACAAGGAACCTTTAATATGACTCAGAAACACAGCCACCGGATGGGTGCCTGTCGGCCAGCCGATGATGCAAGCTGGAGGAGACTAGTTATCGGACATGACACAGCTCTCCACTCCTCAGGGCTGAGGTTATCTATTTTGGCGTGCAGCGCGCAGCCTTCGGTAGGCGAGACACCCAGAGAAAAAAAGTAAAAAAGCACTTTTGACTTCTTGCCTTCGTGTCCGATCCGAAAGGACCATCCTTGGGATTCAAGGTTGATTGGCTGTAGCATGAGATTCTTGTCTTGGTTTCTGGATGCAATCGGCCAGGACCAGACCATGCAGTGCAGACTCCAGTGACTGTGGCTGCCCTGAGAGATCTGGCGGTGTAGTTGAATGTAATTAACATCCATTGATTCATTGATTCATTCATTTGTTTCCTGGACTGATTAAGGACCGTGCACTAAGTACTGGACATACTTTCTTACTATCAAGGGAAGACCCCTCTGCGTAACAATACTTTTCCTCGAGTGGGATATCTCTATCTGTGTTTACTTTTTCTTTTTCTTCACTTTCTGAGTGCATCTATGTACTTTTGCATCCTCCCTCTCCCCTCTCCCTCCTCTCTGGGTGAAGTAACTGAAGCTCTCCAATTGTCACTTCCCTGCCTAGGGTCTTTTCCTTCCTTTTTGAGGGGAGGGATAGTATCCATCACAGTCGATCATGCATGACATATCATCCGCCTGCTTGGACTCTCTCTCCATCCTCTCCTTCCCCCCAATTCGTCTTGTCCTTCCGAACCTGACACATCCACGCCATCCACTCTCTTTCTCTTGCAGTCCGGTAGACAGTTTTTTTGTCTTTCGCCATCGGAAATTCAGAGAGAAATAATCTTCCTTCAATCGGCAGCGGATGCATCCGTAAGTAACTTACTCCCGTTTCTTCTCTCGCTGCGTCGCACCCTCGTTGGGCGGATCTGGCTTGCTCACTTCCGAGCTCCATTCATCCATCCATAGTATTTTTATCCCCTCGCACTAGTGATCTGCTTGATCTTCTTCTACTTTCTCTCCTTCTCCATCTGTCTTCTGCCTGACTCTGCAGTCTCATTCGCACTTCTATCTTGCCGAAAGCTGGCTACTTCTGCGTCACTCTCGGTCTCAACGCCTCAGCTGTCCCCTGGTGGGACCGTCCTCCATGTACGCAGTCGATTGATCAGTCTCCGGCCCTCTGCTCGTATTGCTTTAAAATCGACGAAGGTGCAGTCGCTCAGCTAGATCCTCCCGCCGCGGACCAGTGCTTCTTAAGCAGTCAGATTTCACTCGTTCAACCGTGCGACCGGAGCTCCCTCGAGCCTAGAACGGTAAGTAGACTTGCCTTGGGCATCACCAACCACCTACTCTAAGCGCAAAACTATCGGTCAACTCTGGTCTGGTACTGATCTCTTGTCGCCGTCTCTCAAGATCAGCAGAGCTTAACTCTATTGTCTCTCGTCTGTCGGGTTCCGCCCCTTGTGCCCGGAGGCTCTCTCGGAATCGACCGAGCTCAGCACCCCCGTGTGACTGGTCCCGAGCTCTCTATATACCACCTCCTCGTAGCTGGCCTTCTGCTGGAAACTGTGGCAGAGCTCCAGTCTCGACCACAGCACCATCATGCCTGTACCTACATCTTCACGAGACAGGGGACGGACGACAAAGCAGGGGAGGCCGGATGAGGAGTTTGTCTTGTTTCTCCAGGGGGTAGGTTCCTTGACGATCGTGATGGCTGTCCGTTCTGTTTCTCACCAGCGGGATAGATTCCAGCGCATTGCCGTTGGCAAGAGCTGAAGGACCTAGTTCGTCAGACAGCCCTACATATCCGACAGGCAGTAGTGTACGATGACCAGCACGGGTTTCCAACCGGGCTGGGCCAGATCATCGTGAAGAATGAGGACGAAGCATGGCGAACATACCGTACGTACCTGGGCCGCCCCCCCCACCCCTCGGGATATCAAGGCCATGTGGCTGCCTGGTACACGTGCACTTGACTGACATGCTGCTCTCCAGAGAGGCTATCCACGAATGGCTGGGAAGGCCAGAGCTTGGTCGTGACACTGGCTCGCACCAGCTCCCCCACACGCCCAGTTGCTGGCCCGACCAAAAGTCCCACACGTGTGATGCCTGCTAACTATGTCGCGGGCTACTCGACGCCTCCAAGGGTTGTGCAGAATATGGCCGTTCCTCCTTCCCCAATCTCTCCTGAGTAGGTGGAACCCATCAGGAGAGCCTGCATTTGACGCTCAGACTGACACCACATAGACCCTCCATCTCCACGAGCCCAACATATCCTAATTCCGAATACGGTCTGGTGATGGATGTGATGAGCATGCCCCAACAGCCCCTATTGCCGATTATTACAGATCCAACATCCCAGCATGCTGTTCCTGCTATACCACAGTCACCCGCAACTCTTCGCCGGACATTCCGGGATACATATAACACGCCCATCCTTCCCTCATACCCTATGCATGCAGGCCAGCCATTGGTCGAAGCGCCCACGAACACGCGGTTTGGCACGACAGGACGTCGGACACAATTCACGCGCAAGCCTATCTATAACTACCTTCCCAACCCTAGCTTCACCCCGCACGCCTATCACCAACCCAGCAGCGTCACGGGCGCACCACGCTCCCCGCTGCGTCGCACCATCTTTGTGCAGAACCTAAGTCCTGCAACGAATGGTCTCGCGCTCCGTGACTTTTTTCAAGACTCGGGGGTGACCGTCGAGCATTGTGAAGTGCCGATAGACCTGAAGTTCGGGCGTTGCAAGGGCTTCGCGCGTGTGACGCTCCGGACCCCGGAGGAAGCCAAGCATACCATCAACCTCTACAACGGCTGCACCTTCTTGGGTACCAACATTCGCGTGAGGATGGATCGAAGTATACCCCAAATGGGGCCGTTTACGCCAGCAGATCGTGCCAATCCCGCCTCCACCAGCACCACCAACAACAACAACAACAACAAATTCGCCTACAGACCAAGCAATGGCCAAGCCATGCGGTCGACGACAACCCCTCAAGATCATCACGCCCCAACTGGGCCACGCAGTGAAGCCTCAACCACAGAGAAGCCTTCCCCCTCATCGTCACCGTCGGCCTCTGCAACGAAACCCGCGGATCGCTGTGGCCCACTGGTTGTCAACGGGTCTGGGACCGGACGAAGCGCCGTGGCGACCTAGGATCGTCTAGCCGGCACAGTGAGGCAGCATCTAGGCTTTGCCAGGGCTAATCGAAACGGGCAGACAGCAGGTACAATCTCAGAATGGAACCTTATGCTCCCAGAGCATCTGGCTTCGTTCACAGTGTGTCAGTGTGGGCGGTGTTGGTTGCATGTCATTTGGATTGATCAAGTCGTTTCCGTGTATTTTGTCTAAGAATGGAGCAAGCAGGTCGATAAGTAGATTGGCAGGCAGGCAGGCACGTGGTAGGCAGGGCTTCCAGGCGTTTTGGGTTTAGGTTTGGGTTTGGTAGAAGTTTGGGCCTTAGAGATCTGTATGGAAAAATGGTCTGCGATAGAAAAGGAAAGAACTAATCTGTGTTCATGTCACACTTGCGCTTTCGACGACGACTATAACACATTCTACTGATTTTCTACTGCAAGACTTCAAAACTGAAAAAGAAGTACAATCAAATGTGTTCATCATTCACTCATGAAGCGTCATCTATCGAATCTAATCTCTGGCTGTGCTCAGCTGGAAAAGAAAAACAAAATAACAGCAAGATGACTATCGGCCCTCCCACAGAATTATATAATCCTGTAAGATGGCACCCCTGTCACCATCATAATAATCATCATCATCAAGTTCATCGTTCGTAGCCCCGTACAACATGGATAAAGTTTTCATCCGGGGCGCCCGTCATCAATCAATAAAATCAACAGTTCACGTCAAAAAAAATCAAATCGTATCAAATCAATGGAAGCAGATA